CCATCGGAGCATTGGGCCAATTTACTGGCGGGATGTGAGGGACGCTGGGAAATAGGAACCCTCCCAGTTGACATGGAAAAGGGCAATGACAAATTCAAAAGGTGCAACGAATTTGGGATCTTCCACTTTGCAATGCTCAATTGCTCTTGAAATACAACAAGGTCATAGACACTGCAAGTTACAAAAAAAATCTGTGAGCAGCTTCTGACTCCGTGACCCAGCTCACTTGCTCGTGGTATTGGGGCCATCGGTTTCTGGTCCATCTGTTACCTACGCTGGAGCCAATGCCAGACAGAATTTGACCCAAACAAGATGGGGAGATTGAGTTCATCGGGAGACACCGAGCTGTTGAAGAACGGCAAGAGGAGGACTGCGTAAATATCATGAGGAAAGCAACCACGACAAAAAACTGTAGGTCTACCGGCAACTTGCCTTTCTCATACGTCGCCCTCAAATGCCCTCAACACTGACCCCTAAGAAAACGGTGGCAAGCCAGTGACACACTTATCCCTCTCAAAAGACATCCAGAACGAAAATGGCTCCAGCCAGTGATTCTCACCGCCCCTTTTCTAGTGAAACAGTGGACGGGAAGAGTCGTCGTTGCCAATCTCAGCGTACCTTGGCAGGAGCGGAGTCTCGTGGCGCACAAGCCATCCTCCGTTCTGCCCCTTGAACTTGAGTTTCTTCAATGCGAGACAATCTCTGCAAATAGACCTAGAACCCAAAACATCCGTAGTCCTTGGAGATTTTGACCCGTAAAATGGCGGGAAAAAACATCCGAAATAGGGGTCATTTCACCTTCAGGATTGTCCAACGAGCCAAGAACTTTAATAGATAGCTCCATAGTAGAGCAACACACTCCAACCATTTGAGTTTCTCCCCAAAAAAAGGAGAAATCAAAAATCGCATTGTTTATCAATTATGATCAATTTATCATCATGTTCCACCTTCAAATTGCCATACATTGTGGACTCCAAATGGTCGTTTTTGGGGCCGCCCTGGCGAAATTCGCACCGAGTCCGCCACACGCTCCGCGGAACGCCATCGCCAAGACGACGGCCAGTGGAGCCTGGCAACACCACAGAAATGATCCCAGGCTATGGCTCAAAAAAGGATCTGGTTATTTGTGCCATAGCCATGGAAAATCACCATTTTTAATAGGTAAACCATCTATTTCTTTGGGCCATTTTCCATGGCTATGTTAAATAAGCAGAGGGTAGTCATCATTTTTGCTAAGGATAATAGTGGGATAATAGTGGGATAATATGGATCGCATGAAAATGAAGCATCGAATTTGCTCGTCACTTAAAGTATTAGACATAAAAATGACATAATCAAATCCTCCAACTAATGAAACTAAAGGGCCCCACAAGATTGGTTGTTCTCGGGATTAAACTAATCATTGAGACTGCAGCAGACTTTTGGGACTTTCCAAAGATGAAACCCAGCGCACCTGTGAGATTTCGCATGGACTGGGCCCATTGACTCCAGGACCCCACTGGCCTGGGACATGAGAAGGGCCCTGGGACCTGCACGGGCACCTCCACTGTGGGGGGTTGGGGATTTCTATCTGCCCATTTTGGGGTCCCATCTTTGGGGTATTTCACAATGGTGGGAAGAGATGATATGCCCTGCCAACCTTCCAGCATTGGCCAAGTGGCTTCTTCTTTCGTCCGCCCAACAATGACTGGCCGGCGAGCCAGGCGAAGCTTCGAAGCGTCAGCTTTTGGAAGGAGGAATGCACCATGACTGGATGTTCACCCCAGCTAGTAGGTGGTTCATAGCCATTGCTAATCATGTCTACAACCCAGTTGTAAAAAGGAGATACCCAGTTACACATAAGCTATTATCATTATGTATCCACTTACTGCCTAGGATACACCTTGAAGTGACCTCACCTTCATTTGGGGTATAACTGTCCTAACAAAGCTTACCACTTTTGGCCATATCAGCCATGGACATGGGGTTCCAAGTTCAGATTTCAGGGCCATCTGCCTAACTTCCAGGTGTTTTTTCACAAACTAAATAAAATTGAGTATGATGACCATGCCGATAAGAATGAGGATGAGGGTGTTGATGACGCGGGTGATAGTGATGGTGATGCTGATGATGATGATGATGATGATGACTGACTGACCTTTTTTGACAACGAAATGTGTGCTTTCTGAGAAGGAACAACACCTAAGCTCAACCTTTCTGAGTGCTCCCTGATTCTAATCCTATCAATCCTATGGGGCGATCTGCCGGCGAGTCCAATGGGGGCACCACTTATGGCTTGAATGGCTGCACACCTCCAGGGTATCACCCACAGCTCCCCCAAAAAAATGGCACCTCCCCGGCATGATGGCTGGGAGCTTCGAACATGGGATCTTCGGCCTTGCTGAAAAGTTTACAGGGGGAAACCCCAAAGGTATGGGACTACTTTAGTAGTTCCGAAATTTGGATTCAAGATGTTAATCCCACAAGATCTCAAGGCTGAAACTTCGAAGTCGTCAAAGTTTCAAACTCACGTGGGGATCCCCTGGTGTCAGATTTGTAGGCAAGAGTTATCGAGTGTCCTATCATGCTTCAACAATACCTGCCACGGCAATGACCAGATCCTCTTATCATCGGTGGGGTGCCATTGTGAGGTGGCTAAGGCTTAGCTATGTGAAGGCAAACTCTCAAACCCCCAAAAATGAGACGAGCTTTAAGAAATGAACAAGAAACGAGTTTGTTTTCTTCTCTGTGCATTGATTCATCTTCAGAAAACAAAAGGAATGAAAACAGGGAAAAGACCTATGGTTCCCAAATTTTCTTAGTGAAGCAATAATAAACCCACATAAATTCATGGTTTATACTATAAACACCAGCCATTTCTGCTAAATTGGTGCTGCTTCACTTTGGGGCATCCCCACTGGCAGTTGCAGCTCGTCGGAGACGTTGGGATTGTCCCGATAGGGCGCGGTGGGGGCGAGCGGTGGCATGCACCTCGGTCCACAGGGAGCAGCTTGGGAGGGGCAAGTATCATGCCCAAGAAAAATCAACATCTTTGGGGGGATTCCACCATTTTCTGAGGCTACATATATGTATGTATATATATATATATATATATATGTATATCATATTATATATAGTACCCAAGAGTACCCAATAAAAAGAACGCACTGAAGGCGTTTATCCCAACACCCACAACTCGAGAGCTGGCTTTCCGCACGTCCCACCGCTGAAGTGGCTTGGCTCTGACGGCATGGTAGATGCCTCGCAAGGTTTCGCGCTCAGCGTTTGGCCATCCATTGCTGGGGTATTTTGTTTTTTGGCCAATGGCCCCTTCCTAAGTATTGTATCTGGAGAACTTGACTCTGGAAGTAATCTCATTTTAGACTTCCTTTAGTTTTGTGGGCTGTTTTAGCCAAAGAAAATTCCAGGCCTACTATCTACTGTAGCCTGAGGTCATGCAAGGTCGTCTTGAAGCGTGCTGGGAAGTATATGAAAGTCTGTAGTTTTGGGATATCTACATATCTACTATGTTTTGGCATATCTAAATACATTATAAATATATATATATCAATTATAACATATTATATACATATATCTCTGCCCCATTGGAGATACGTTTTGGGTGTCAGTTTCCCCTTGACCCAGTTGACCCAGAATCCCGGTCAACTAAGCTGCGCAAGCTGCTGCGCTGCCTCGGTCGTCGATTGGAACGCTCAAATATAGGGATTTTTGTAGTGATATTGATGGGATAGATATGATATATATATATGATGGATGGGATACCCTCTGGTTATGGCATATCCATGGAATACCTATGGATGGGACACTCGATAGATATGGATGGGATACCCTCTGGTTTACAGTGAATGGAACATCAAGATGATATGAATGGTAGTCACTGGCCTCTGATTATATGGGGATTTTAGAGTGATTCAATGGGATCTGAATGGAATATGCTCTCTGGTAATTGAACAGGTATAGCTCTTGAAAATGGCCCATTTAGTTTGATGATTTGCCTTTTTACAATGGGGATGTGCAATAGTTATGTTGAATTACCAGAGTATAATTGTCATGGTTATATAAAACACATCAAGAAATTTACATGCGAAATATTGTTCGTTCAATCATGATGGGCACCCATCAAATGTTGATTTTTCTTGGACTTTAGGGCCTTGATTTTGACCAACTCAAAGCGATCTGAACGACACATATCCCATCCCAAATTTACTATTTGGATGGAATAAATGAAAAAAACATACCAAACAAAAACATATTTGGGTGACTTGATGTTTTACTTACATGTATTTACCACATCACATGACTCACTTGCGACACCAAGAATTCTTGGGCCCGGACCAGTAATGAGCAGTTCCCGTCCACGGTGCGCATGGGCGGCCGGCATGGTGACCTCAATGGCAAGGCAAAGGCGGAGCTTTTCAAAAATCTCCCAGAAATATCAGGTGAACCAGGTAGCCTCTGGTAAACGTTTACACATTTTATAGCTGGCTAAATCAACTATTTCTGTGGCCATAAATTCAATAGCTTTTTGTAAATGTTTACCAGAGGGTAACCATCATTAACCATTATTAGCCATTATTCACCATCCATTAACCACTATTAACCACTATTAACCATCTATTGATGGGCTATCATCCGAGCTTCCAGGATCCTCCGGTCGATCCAAAACGGTGGGGAGGCGTGAATTTTCTGTCCACAAAAAGTTGTGTTGGAGTCATCCCCACAACTATTATATATATATATATAATTATTATATGTATATATATATATACTGATCTATATGTTATATATAATGACTGATCTACTCATTGTATCTCACTGATCTAATGGCTGGCTATGAAATCATAATATCCAATCCACATGATGTTATGCCAACTGCCTTGATGATTGGCTGTGAAAAACACACGATTGTTGGCATAAAGCCTAGTGTTGCGATGATTTTTATTACTATCATTGTTGCTGCTATGATTGCTGTTATAATTCGTGTTATTGTTACATTGTTAATATCATATTGCAATCAGTATCCTTACAGTATCAAGTTGCTAAATACTGCAAGATGATACACTACAAAGGATAGCAAATGATGTACAGATATTCTCATTACCGTGCGGTATCGTTTCTTGGTTGCACCCCCCGCTGAGAAGAGGGCCGGAGCATGGCTGGGCGCCGAGGGAGCCGGAGCCTGCAGACCACCCCCTTTTTTGCGCCGTGCAGAAATGTCATGAGAATCCCATGCTACGGCAGATGGGCCAATAGAATTTATGATAATCATTGGATCATCTATATAAATCATTGGATCATCTATATAAATCATTGGATCATCTATGATAATCATTACAACTTACAAATCTATATAAAGCCATAGATTATCCAATGATTTATACATCTTAGATCGCTATCTTCAGCTCCACAATGGACATTCTCCCTCCAACCAAGAAGTGCACCACCCTCTATACGAGATTGCCACAACTGCAACAGTTCAACGCTACTTTGGCCCTTCCTTGATTGACTGGCAAAATACCACTACCATTTGGAACGCATTGTTGCCCGTGGCTTCGAATCGCTATGATTGGGATCAACTTGTATTCCCCGGAAATGGGAGAGTTCACTCGAACACTGCTGACGTGTAGTCCTCGAGGCCTGTGCTATGGACTGCATTTCGCTTGACAAAAAGATACATCTTATCATACATTCTTCAATCTTAATACTGTAGTCATCACGTCTTTGTTTCGCGGTACATCTCCCGGCAACGCGTTGCCGGGCGCCGCAACGCGCGCCTCCGGGGCCTCTGTCTCCACACCCGTGGACCGAAGCACTTCAGAAATGTCCTGCACCAATGACCAAACACGAAACACTACCCTCTGGTAAACGTTTACATAGCTATTGAAAATGGCCCATTTACAGTGGATTTACCCATTGAAAATGTGATTTTACATAGTTATGTAAACGTTTACCAGAGGGTCAACACTAATTGAATAGATTTCATCCTTAAAAAAACAAATCAAATCATGACAATAATGTACAATAATGACAATAACACCAGCCAGGAGTAGGAACTATAATAGTAAAAATAGCAATAACGATAGGAATGCCAGCAGTTTTGACAAAACGGCAATCACAATAACAAGATAACAATAACATCAACATCAACATCAACATCATCATCATCATCATCATCATCATCCGAATAAAAACCAATAGCAATCATACAAATCCTTATAATGACTCTAGTAAGAATGATGACATTTATTTGATGGTGACGTCAAAATAATGCATATATTGCCATGAAGTAAAAAAACATAATTAAAACCACCAGCATCCTGTGAAAACCATCAAGTAAAAGTAAAATCACAATTAAGTCTTTCAGTCTATTAAGTATTTGTTATATTACGTAAATTAATCATCTTTTACCATGAAATGCCATATTAAAAATACCCAACATAGCTACTGAAAATGGCAATTTAGTTCGTTGATCTGCCCTTTAAACATGGTGATTTTCCAGTTCGTTATGTTAAATTACCAGAGGGTAACCATCATTAACCATCATTATATACCATCATTAACTATCATTGACCATCATTAACGATCATTAACCATTATTAACTATCATTAACCATCATTAATCTATATTGATCTCATTGAAATTGAACATCCCAAGGTGACGAACATCCCACTATTGGATGATTAACCATCATTAACCATAATTCACCATCATAATTAACCATTTTTATCCATTATTCACCATCCATTCACCACTATTAACCATCATTAACCATCATTAACCATAAAAAATCCTTAAAAATCCATTTTTTTAAAAAAAAAAACATGCATCATTAATCATCATTATATCACTTATATATATGAACCCATGGTATATAACCATCATCTATGATTCAGCATCCTCACCAAGCCCACCTTTTCGGGTCTCACCGCACCTCCACTAAGGTGATCAGCTCTTCCAACTCCGCAGGGTCAAAGTCGCGTCCGTCCTCCAAGGCCTGGCGAATGTGACTCGAATAGGGGAGATCTTTGGCATGTGAAAGTAGATATTAATATAATACAATATAATATAATATAATATAATAATATATATATATACAGTTATATAATGTTATATATGTATATACATATAAAAAGAGAATATAGAAAGATATATAGATAGGGATAGATATAGATATGATGTGTATATGATATTTAATCATCCAACGAATACAAAATATACAGGCAGATTAATCAAAATGAAACACGTGGGAATAAAACCTGAATGGGAATAGAACCTGCCCCCACAGTAATGATCAAGTAAGCATCATTTCTGTAGGATTGTACCCATAGCGAAAAACGAGGATGGGATATGACGCCAGTAGTGACCCAGGTCCAGGGAACGTCCTGCACCAGCTGCTCTACACGCTCTTTGGCATCTTCACGAGCGACCACCAGGCGCACCACTTCCTGGCGAACAACGGGCAGCTTCAACGATCCCAACTTTTTGCTGGGGATGCTTCAATATTTCCATGTTGCTGTCGATATTCAACCTATAACTAACAATATCCGCCGACCCCGGCAGACGCAAGGGGGAGCGCGCCAGGGAATAATACTTTTGACTCTTGTTTCGGACTACTACCGCAGCGGGCGCAGCCGACCCCAGGAGCGCGCCAGGGGCCATGGTGTTTCCCCGTCGGGAAGGCCGTGTCTTTGTGGGCACAGCAGCAGCAGCAGCAGCAGCTCCCAGTAGCCAGCATCAAGAAACGTATAGCAAGCTTTTTCTAGGAGATTTCAGAAGGGACGTTCCGGCCCCGGGAAACGTCTATTTTGGACTCCATTCGTCCTTCAGGGCCGTGGTGTTTCCCCGTCGGGGAGGGCCGTGTCTTTGTGGGCACAGCAGCAGTAGCTGTTTCTTGCTTTGGAAGCTGTTTGATTGCAGCAGCACAACAGCAGCACCACAGCAGCAGCAGCAGCCACCAGCAGCAGCAGCAGCCACCAGCAGCAGCACCAGCAGCAGGCAGCAGCAGGGAGCAGCAGGCAGCAGCAGGCAGCAGGCAGCCGCAGGCAGCAGCAGGCAGCAGCAGGCAGCAGCAGGCAGCAGCAGGCATCAGTAGGCAGCAGCAGACGCAGTGTAGCAGCTAGCAGCGAGCCAGCAGCCAGCCTCGAGAAACGTATAGCAAGCTTTTTGTAGGAGATTTCAGAAGGGACGTTCCGGCCCCGGGACACGCATATTTTGGACTCAGTTCGTCCTTCAGGGCCATGGTGTTTCCCCGTCGGGGAGGGCCGTGTCTTTGTGGGCACAGCAGCAGGGAGCAGCAGGCAGCAGCAGGCAGCAGGCAGCAGCAGGCAGCAGCAGGCATCAGTAGGCAGCAGCAGACACAAGCAGACGCAGCAGTAAGCGCAACGGCAGCAGTGCAGCAGCTAGCAGCGAGCCAGCAGCCAGAAACGTATAGCGAGCTTTTTGTAGGAGATTTCAGAAGGGACGTTCCGGCCTCGGGAAACGCCTGGGCCGTGTCTTTGTGGGCACAGCAGCAGCAGCAGCAGCAGCAGTCGCTGTCGCCCTTCAGTAGCATGGTGCCGGAAGCCGCCTTTTTGAAGGGTCAGCTGCACCAGCAGCAGCAGCAGCAGCAGCTCCCAGTAGCCAGCATCGAGAAACGTATAGCAAGATATAGCAAGCTTTTTCTAGGAGATTTCAGAAGGGACGTTCCGGCCCCGGAAACGCCTATTTTGGACTCCATTCGTCCTTCAGGGCCATGGTGTTTCCCCGTCCGGGAGGGCCGTGTCTTTGTGGGCACAGCAGCAGCAGTAGCTGTTTCTTGCTTTGGAAGCTGTTTGATTGCAGCAGCACAACAGCAGCACCACAGCAGCAGCAGCAGCCACCAGCAGCAGCACCAGCAGCAGGCAGCAGCAGGGAGCAGCAGGCAGCAGGCAGCCGCAGGCAGCAGCAGGCAGCAGCAGGCATCAGTAGGCAGCAGCAGACACAAGCAAACGCAGCAGTAAGCGCAACAGCAGCAGTCAAGCAGCTAGCAGCGAGCCAGCAGCCAGCCTCGAGAAACGTATAGCAAGCTTTTTGTAGGAGATTTCAGAAGGGACGTTCCGGCCTCGGGAAACGTAATTTTGGACTCAGTTCGTCCTTCAGGGCCATGGTGTTTTCCCATCCGGCAGGGCCGTGTCTTTGTGGGCACAGCAGCAGCAGCAGCGGCGGCGGCGGCGGCAGCAGCAGCAGCAGCAGCTGTTTCTTGCTTTGGAAGCTGTTTGATTGCAGCAGCACGACAGCAGCACCACAGCAGCAGCAGCAGCAGCAGCCACCAGCAGCAGCACCAGCAGCAGGCAGCAGCAGGGAGCAGCAGGCAGCAGCAGGCAGCAGGCAGCCGCAGGCAGCAGCAGGCAGCAGCAGGCAGCAGCAGATTATTATATATATATATATATATTAGATAACACTCATACTAAGACACCTCTATAATTTTTATATGCAATCATAGGACTATAAACACCTGGCTCGCGCCAGATTCGCCCTGCCAAAACGACGCAAATGCAGCCGACCATGGGATCCCTTGGGCCCCCCGGTAGGCTGAGACTCTGAATATCGAGAAACCGCTTATAAATGGTCGTACCGCCGTGGAGCAGAATCAACTGAATCGGAAAACAAACAGACAATCTTAACATATTGTAACTGTAACTGAGACTTGGGAAGCCTGTGCTGATTAACATTTACTCTTTATCTAAACTACTCCAAGATCGACAAAACATGATGCTGGCTAGTTGAGTCCCTAAAGTAGCTAAAGGCTGGAAACTATCAACCAATTGTCAAAAAAAACTCAGGCCATCATCTGATATATGATATAACTGTCATATAACCACATGACTATTCTTCCGGGGTCGGCGGCAGGGGCGGCAGCCCTTATATAAATAGATGTGTATAATTGTATATCTCTACTTGTGTGTATATATATATATGTATGTATGTATGTATGTATGTATGTATGTATGTATGTACGTATGTACGTACGTACGTATGTATGTATGTACGTATGTACGTATCTACGCACGTACCTATGTATGTATGTACGTATGTACGTACCTTCAATATTTCCATGTTGCTGTCGATATTCAATAAATATCTGTATATCTCTACTTATATAATTGTATATCTCTACTTATATATATATATATTTTTTCATGTATGTATGTATGCATGCATGTATGCATGTATGCATGGATGTATGTATGTATGTATGTATGTATGTATGGATGGATGTATGCATGTATGCATGTATGCATGGATGTATGCATGGATGTGTGCATGGATGTATGCATGGATGTATGCATGTATGTATGTATGTGTATGTATGTGTATGTATGTGTATGTGTATGTATATGTATGTATGTATATGTATATGTATGTATGTATATGTATGTGTATGTATGTGTATGTATGTGTATGTATGTGTATGTATATGTATGTGTATGTATGTGTATGTATGTGTATATGTATGTGTATTATGTATGTTATATGTAGGTATATGATGTGTATATGTATGTGTATATGTATGTGTATATGTATATGTATGTGTATATGTATGTGTATATGTATAGTATGTGTTATGTATGTATGGTATGTAAGATGTAGTAGTATGTATGTCTGTATGTATTGGATGTATGTATGTCTGTAGGTAGTTATGTATGTATGTATGATGTATGTATGTATGTAGTATGTATGTATGTATGTATGTATGTATGTATGTATGTATGTATGTATGTATGTATGTATTGTAGTTGTATGTTATGCTAATGTATGTAATGTATGTATGTATGTATGTATGTATGTCTGTATGTATGCATTCTGACAAGAGGAATCAAAAACCACCCCTTCTCCACAAGCGTCACAAACCTCCGTCGCGACTCCGCCGAACGCGCGCCGGGCGCCGCCGCCGGCGCCGGCGCGGCGCGGGCGGCGCCCCGTTAGGGGCCGGCGCTGCACTTGCGCCGGCCAGGTAGGCAGGGCCTTTGGAACGAAAATTGGTGGAGTCACATTTTACGGGGATTTAAATCCGCCATTTTTGGGGAGTTTCGTATTATTCCTTTTGGATTTAATCCACCATTTAGATTTGGTGATTTTCTGCATTTGAAACAACCAAACTGGGATTTGTTGCAGAAACATAAGCTTTTTTAAAGCTTCAAAATGTGCTTTTTGTTGCCAGGGACGTCTCGATGTTAGCAACAAAAATGGTGGATGTGAAATGATTTGAACCAAGGGTCACTTGAACCCAACTATCCAAGTGTACAAATCCCTGTCAGGTGTCACCTCCAAGAGCGGCCAACCCACCCATCGTGTCACCGCACTGTCTTCCGCTCCATTCACGAGGCAAAGATCAGCCTGGGAACAGGCAAAAAGGATGATCCCACATGGCAGTGTGTCAAAACCTTGTACCCCTGGTGAACATCAAAATAGCTGGTAAATGGGTGTTCATCCCACTAAAAATGGTATTAATAGGTATTGATCCATACCCACATGGGCGCAAAATGATCCACTTTACCGAAGCAGGAAGCAGACACCAGTTTCAGATTCGAGACTTGCAAGACTCTCATGCTGTTGTCCTTTCCTTGAATCCTTGTCAGTTACTGGGCCTATCCAAAGCTTGCAACCTGGACCAAGACTGGATGGTGTACAATCTCCAGATCTGCACAGCTTACGCCCAGAAACTGCAACTCCAGTGGAGGATCGCGGAAATTCGTAGCCCTCCTGTCTCAGCTGCTTGTACCTCTGCTTAAAAATCCACCGCGTTCCACCGCAGATTTGCAGATGGACATCTGAGAGATGGGTGTTTTTCACCGAACGTATCCATGGTTCCATCGGTTCCATGGTCCACTGTGGGAATCCATCCTGGTTACGTAGATCCCACCTGGAAGCCATCCCCAGGTGGTGACCTCTTTCAGGTTGCTGAACCACTACGATGGAATGAACTATTATTGGGGTAATTACCGAACCTCCTTACTAGCAACCCCCACGCTCTTTGATTGGGGAAGTTTGAAGTTTACCATGTTAGCAGCACATTACAGCTCTTTGTTGGGTGAAACCACTGATTGATCAACCAGGTTTATTAATCTGGGGTTGACATTGTGTGAAACCACCCCCATTTCATCTGCCAGCATTTCTGATTTGAGAATTGTCTTAGTTTTCTGACATTCTGAAGTGTTAGATCATCTACCTGATACCCATAGCTCTCTTTTCAGGTTCGTGCAATTTGGGAGGGTGACGTCCTGTGAATTTGCCACTTCACGGGCGCACGCAGAGAAGATAGGCCTCAGGGCACCCTCATGCCTCGGGAGAGGACCATGCTAAAAACCTGCATGGAAGAACAGGGGGCTGGTGCACAGATGTTGTGCTGGATAGGCTTACCTCAACTAATGTTCAAAAGGCGGGTAGTTGTAGTCTCCCTAACCATCAAATGGTGCCGAGAAGCCAGGTCAAGGTCAAAATGGCACAAATCTGGGATACCCATACTTAGATCACACAGTTGCAGTGGTCTCAGAAGAACCTATCCCTGTGACTGAAGACCACATCTCTAGTTTCAACACCTGCACATGCCCTGCTCCTCAGTCACAGTTGGGTTTGTCGGAAAAGTGTGTGCACCCCACTTTCGGGAAATTCCAATATAGTGCAATGGAAAAAAATGAAGGACCGGATAACCCCACATGTCAACTTCTTTCAAGAAGCACAAAACATGTGTCGAAGGCAGGAAAGATCAAGGAGATGGTGGAAGACAGATTGTGTGAAAGAGCTGGGTGTGACAGAGCTGTATGTGAAAGAGTGGTATGGAAGAAAGTTGTGTGCGAAAGATTTGTATGTGTGACAGGGATGCGTGTGTGTGAAAGAGTTATGTGTGACAGAGTTGTGTGTGAAAGAGTTTATGGCACCAAATGCTACGTCTGCCATGAAGACGACCACGGGGTCACTGGCGACCAAGCGCGCCACCGGAGCCAGTCCAGTGCCACAAGTGCCACGCCTGCCACACAAAAGCACCGCCGGTGCCACCAAGTGCCACAATGTTGTGTGTGTGTGTGACAGAGCGGGCGGGGCGGGACGGACGGTAGACCGGAGTGCACAACAGAAAAAACAAGAACCCCACACACAAAGATGTGGGGAAAAAAACATGATAATCCCCCATTACCTATAGTTATATCTACCATAAACCATAGTTAAGCCACTCATATCTCAACTGAACGCGAGCTCGAACGGTGGCCCCATCCTGTTGGGATTGTGGATATCTCATTTTCAGACCCCAGATCTAAGGACGCCAAGGACTGGGCATCAGAAAAGCGTCCACAATCAGCTGCATGATCTCCAGAACCTCCAGAACACTTTGCGAAGTGGAAAATCCACCATTTTGAACAGGTAAATCAACGAACTCAATGGGGTATGTTCAATAGCTATGTGAAAAATTACCTGAGGCTAAATGGTGTCAAATTGATATGGGTTGTTTCAAAATGTGGTTCTAAAAATTTGATCATCGCTTTCTACATCAAAAGTGCTATCTCATGGGTGTACCCCCAAATTTCACACAAACTCAGATGTTAGATTGTTGGTTATATTCCACCAAATCCCAATTATGTGTATGTATGTATATATATATATAACATATATATGTGTGTGTGTATCCCATGAAGTCCCTATTGTTGATGGTAAAACTTCTCGCAAACCACGACAGTTGCCTGACCCTAAACCCCACTCCGGAGCCACGGACCACGGACCGAGCGCGCCTTCTGTGATGCTTGCCGCCACTGCTGACGCTTGTCCTAGCCAGGAGATCATGAAATCCTGGAAAAAAAAAAAACGTCCTGTTGGTGGAGTTCCCACGCAAGAAACCATGGATTAAAAAAAACGATTTCTTTGGTGAAGTTGGTGCTGGTGCTTTAGAGTCACCGTCCTAGTGTCAAATTGCTGGGCTTACTATATACACTAATTTATATAATCCTTGGAGTATAGAAGGAACAGCAATTATCTCAAACACCTATATGACATACTCTGCTCATCGCTTTTGTGGTTTGACTCCTGTGTCACCACTGACCATGACCTAGATCTTTAGCTCTGATGCCATTGCCTTTATCAATCATAGAGGAGGGATTTACTTTTTGAATGAACAAAAATGTCATTCAATGTCTATATTATAAATATATATATATAGTATAATTATGTCCAATTATACATATACATCTCTACATATCTATACAATATACCTATATAAACATGACCACAAAACACTACTGGGCATGGCTGAGTCCTACTGGGCCATTTCCTTGTCCCAGCTGATCGGCCTCGCCGATGGCTACGCCGTGAGGCAACCACTCCGAGAGCCTAAAGGTAGAAAGAGCCAGCGGGTTATAATGAGGATATTCTGTGTATGTTTATTTATTTATATATATATATACAGTACATTGTACATAATTTAATATAATGATATACCCAATATAATGATTAAAAGATGCTTGAGGAACTTAGCGAACTGGAATATCAACATTTTAAACAGGTAAATCATCATCTTTATCATCTATGGGCCATTTTCAACAGCTACATTGAATTTTTCCAGAGGAACTGGGCGCCCACACCCCGACTTGTGCAGGTTGCGCCCGAAGCCATACCTACACAATATGGGCGATGGGTCTATACAAACATCAGACATAACCAGGCCCGTTACATTACTGACAATGGCTGTTGCAACCCAAAAGAGGCCGGCCTGTTTGGAGCCACAAAATTGGCTGTGCATTTATTTAGTATATATGTCGCACGGGACCAGAAATAAACTGATCGTTTTTATGATCTACCATCCAGAGTTTGGGGTACCCAGTTTTGACCCAAAACATGTAGTCATCAAGACTCACGAAGGAGAATCAAGTTGGAATCAACCACCACACCAGGAGGATGTTTGATCAACCACCATTAACCACCCAAGTTGGGAACAATTGCCCAAGGGTTGCAGAACCAAGAAGTGCCTCTAATTTTGCAAAGCAACCAGAGAGAAATTCAGTTGATTCATCCCACCTCGAGGGGAAAATTCCGAAGCTTTTACAACCATCGATGCATCCCCGATGAGGCTTTCCCGAAGTCATGGCTACCCCAAAATGGATAGTTTATATATGTTTATATGGGGATGGGTCAAAACCCTGGTACCTAGTGAACCCCAAAATAGCTGGTAAATGGATGTTCATCCCACTAAAAATGTATCTATAGGTATTGACCCATACCCATATGGAAAATCCGATCAAAATGGATGGGGGTACCCCCAGAAAAACCTCCGGATTTCATCCCCAATGGCTACCAACTTGGCCTCTCCGAATTTCGGCACGGAGTGCCATGGTATGTCGGGTGCATGAAAAAAAACATATCGAGGTGATGGAGTTGCACTGATTCACTCGGTCCGGAGACCTCCAACTCTCTTTCTTCTTCACTATGCCCACCAAAGTTTCCGCTACTCCTCAGCGCCGAAAGAACCTGGTCTTAAAAAAACTTCGGAGGGGTTACTCGATCCCAAACTTGCCACTCAGTAATATTAGACTTGTGTTGAATAAGCTGATGAACTGCTGCCGTCGAAGTCCTAGAGAGCTGGATTTCTGACAAAAAATATGTTTGGACATGGGTCAAGCTTGGAATACAGACTCTAATTGAACAGTTTGCTATGCAAAATTGATCAAAATTGCCAATTTAATTTAAAGATGATTTACCTACCCTCTGGTAAACTAACATAACTATGGAAAATCATCATTTTTAATGGGAAAACTCACTATTTCTATGGCCATTTTCAATAGCTATGTTAAATTACCAGAGGGTATTTCAAGTATTGGCGATGTTCCAGGGCCACGTTGCATCGCCACAAAGTACACCTATCTGAAGGTTGCATGTTCTGGGACTCCAAAATGATCAGTCCATCTGTGGCACACCATCAGCATTAATTGATCAAATCATCATATGGCAGTGTGTCAAAACCTTGTACCCCTGGTGAACCTCAAAATAGCTGGTAAATGGATGTTCATCCCCCTAAAAATGGTATTAATAGGTATTGATCCATACCTAATTGATCAAATCATCAAATATTGATGCCTCCATGCAGTTGCCCTAAAAGGTTTGCTGGTTACCTACCTCATCTATTGTGTGTGTGGATCTTCATCATGGTTATCCCCTACCCGACCTCCCTGCTCCCAATTCTGTCCTTCGTTGATGGCTCTGCAAATCACCATGCCACAATTCTTCACCAACATCTGCGGGCCGACTCAAAGTGCAGTTGCCGTCTGTTGCCGTCTGTTGCTTGTTGGTGCTTGTAGCATGTTCAGCCAAACACCTACAAAAACACACGGTCATCGTTCCACTACACCAGTCGGTTTGATCGGGAGTCCCAGTTCGTGGATGATAGTCTATACATAAAATTACAGAATAAGTATATGTTTATATGAAAGGATAGTATAACCCCGTAACCAATAATTAACCAGCAAGGCTTTTGAACACTGCTCAAATGGAAAGCAATGGCGGCCATTTCATGGCCGGGAGATTGTCAGCCGGGACCACAGAGTCCCGTGGGCTGGTACCGCATTTCTTGAGGGTCCCATATGGCGAAAAATCCATGGCTTCAACTTCGTACCGAATTCTTTTTCGCCATAGACCATAGACCCAAAAACACCCACGGATTTATTTTTGCGGATTTTTTTTGATTTCTGCTGCTGTTTCCCTATGGAAAAATGGCTTGAGTCATGGCTTGGTCCAGGGGTCCAGTTCTATCGCCTCCAACAAACTCAATGCCAACATTACGGCGCTGGGTTTGTCATGACCTGGCGGCGAGCTGGCGCCGATGGCGCCTCTGGATGGGATCAAAAAAAAAGGGCTCTGGCAAGCAGTTGATGGATGAAATCCGTTGAACTAAAACATTGAAGATGAGACCCAAACTTGAACAAAACCCTATTGTCACGATGATTTCGGAGTGGACTGTTCAGGTCACAAGTCAACTTTACAGGCTGTGTGGTGGGTGTGGGGTAGTGAAAAATTAACCAGTTTTACCAGAAATGAATGGTTGAACCCATCCCCATTCAAGGTTCATTGTTGGGTTTACCACACTAGAATTCATATTTGGGTTTGTCTACTGATTAATCATCTTTTCCTAGCTAGTTCTAATATATATATATATATATGGTATTGCCATTTTGGGGGTACACCCTGGTTTCAGATTTCACCAGTGATGTCCATCACTTCCTCTCATCCCAACCGTTCCACATTAGCCCGCTACGCAATCGCTCGTCGATGCGGGTGATCGCCAAGGGCGCCAGGTATTGATTGTCCTGCGGCGACGGGTACAACCAACCAAAATTGGGAATGCCATGAATTCTAGGACAGCAAACCAGCAAACGGACCAGTTGGCCCAGTTGGATTTCATATGGATGGAACGCACTGGAAGCCCTGCATGACCGGGCTTAAAATTGTGGTAGCAGTGGACAAACTTAGTCACTGGAAACATAGAGTTGGGGATGAGAATTTTGAGCCATGGCCATTCTGGACACTAGAAAGTTGCCACTGATCAAGTGGGAGGTTCTAAGTGGTAACTCAGCCTCAGCAAGCCAGGATTCTGGTGATTCATAGGCTGATGTATACGTCAATCCCATTTCTGCCAATCCACCTAGGCCTTGTCTACCAAGTAGGAATCTCAACACTCCCAAGACAGGTAAGAGTTATTTGGTGGTCCCAAAAAAAAACAGGCACTAATCCTTTTGTATCCTTTCGTCACAGTTTTGTTAAGAATTAATACCAGGATATATAATGGGAACGTTTTTTCGCATCACCATTGTTGCTGGTCAATTCCGGACTACTGTTAGATACATCACCTGTACTGCTGGAATATCCCACTCAGCCTTGATGGTGTCGCAAATCTGTACGTTCACGGCCTTGGGTTTTGGGGCTGAGCCGGGCAATTTTCCCTTGGAAATGACCGTCGCATGTTTTGATCTGGCGCAATTTTTCCTCCATGTAGCTGAAATGAAGCACTTCACCAAAGCGAGGTTCACTGGGATTTCTCCACCATTTTGCTATGATCTCACCATCACCAGGGCTGATTCCTGATGAGAAGAACCAGCGGTTTTCAAGCCACGGTATCTGCAAAAATCCCGTTGCATCAACTGGGGCCCCATAGCCCACTCTATGGTGCTGGAGCGCAAAGCTACCGCCAACAATGTGTCCAACTGGCGGATGGGTGGGATAGCCTAACTGATGGAAATTCACAGCTTTTTTCTGCGGAAAATGAGATGTGTAATGCTGCATTTCTATGTTTGTCCGTCATCCATTCAACTGGGGTTCTCGCATGGCCACCAATTTATGCCACAACTGGAATCGTTCACCTTGCCTGAAATCACCGAGGTTTGCTATGTGTTGGATTCTTTTGGTATGTTGGACCTATGAGATGCCAAAAAACAGTGCTACGATCTGCTATGATTGCTATGTATACATTATATATATATACACATACATACATATCCCAGCGATTTTCCGGCTGAGATCACCCATCAAAACACGTTTCGCCGCTTCGCCCCACCTCTCGGCTTGTCATGAAACCATGGCTCGCTCAGGCACCTGCAGAGGTAGACCGAGTATCATCCTGCCCTGGTTGGCATGTCCTCATGTGTATGTGTATCGTATTGAATCCAAGAAAGAACCAGGATTTTTTATGAAAAATCCCAGAAATTGCAACCGATTCCCCCGGCCTCGAGACAATTCCATGGCCCATCAAATGTGGCCAGGATGGACGGGGTGTCCCCAAATTGGGAAACCAGAAGGGTACGTTAGTGGCATATCGTCTATTTCTTTTTCTGGTATTGGGGTTGTACTCCGGTAGCCATGTCTCAGAGACAGCAGAAATCGTGGAGGTAGTCTTCTGGCTGCCAGAATCTGCCACTACGATGTCGTCTTCGAACCAGCTGATGCGGGGAGCTGTTTGCAGCTGTTGTCATAGGGTCCATTCTGCCATGTCCCACGTCACAGTGATTGCCTTAATCCAAAGCTCAAGGACTCCAGGAGCAGAAAATTCTTGAAAGCCACTAGCATCACCAGCAAGCCGTGGATGTGCAACTCTGAAGTGATACGTGTTCTCCGAATCTGATCTGGGCAAAGTCTGAATCTAAACTGTCATAAACATGTGAAGTAAACTCATGTTCAAAAACGATGTCCCACATCAACCATCCATTGGCCCAACTTTCATGGTTCCTGTCAACAGTTCGGTTGGTAACTGAACAGCCCCCATTGAACATCACCCAACCATTCAGTGGCTACCGACAGCGGAAAGCCACGATTTTGCCATCTCACACGGAGAGCGCGTTGAGATCTTCCAGACCCGTTTGGAGTTCACCAAAGACACGGGCTTTCAGGTTTCCTGAGAAGGCCCGATCCCAAGAGAATTTGGCCATGGGCGCCAACCAGAATGCTGATATTAATGTTAAATATTAATGTTACATGTTACATTGATATAGTATAAGTTGATATATGTTGATATAAAATTCATGCTTTCATAGTGGATATATGTTGATATAATATATATATATATAGCGTGATACGTAACAGCAGCTGTAACATATACCAATATTACGTAAATCAAGGGATGTTTTTTCGCGATATGAATAGGATGTTACCGACATATTTCTTGGGCAAAATGTTCAAAAAATGGTGATTTACCCCCAATGAATTGCACCAAATCAATGGCTAATCTGATGCTTGGATGATGCGACTGGTTTATCCGATACAGACCATCCCTTTCGGCTTGATGCGACTTGGTTTTTCAGTTTCTCAGGGCAGACCACGAATCAAAAAAAAAACAAGTGGGGCCAAGCGTTTGGAAGATTTACAATGGTCTGTAGGCAGCAAATCCCTTGGAAGGCTGGTCAAATCTAATAGAAAGTCAACAGTTCAGTCACCAGTCAGCAGTATTTGCTGAGAACACATCCCACCGACCAGGATGGATCAAATGCCCAAGCATCGCAGAAATCCTCGGTCCTTAAAGATTGCGACCGTCTTGTTTCGAGTGAAAACAAGTGAAAACCCTGAGACTTTGGTGGTTTGAAGCCAAAATGTGGCTGGTCAATGGTTGCCACAAGGCCCCAAAGATGGTTACGGCGGCATGGCGTTGTCACACCTTCCTTGTCTTAGCTCACACCGGGGATGGCGGCGCTGAGGAATTTAGCTTTTTGGCCTGTTCAGAGATGTTGATGATGTTGATATTTATGTTCACGGTACCTTTTGCATGGGGTGGGGTGGGGGGTGGCGGGTAGGGTGGGGTAGGGCTAATAACGTGCAATCGTCTGCGATCTTTGATTCTCCATCTTGCGTTTTTATAGTAATTACCAACACGCTCTTGCTTCTACGCTATGAACAGAAGAACAGTTTAACACGCTCGTGATGTTATGCTGTTGCACTTCCTATAGTAATGTCCAACACGCTCTTCCTTCTACGCTATGAACAGAAGAACAGATTAACACGCTCGTGATGTTATGCTGTTGCACTTCCTATTGTAAATTCCAACACGCTCTTGCTTCTACGCTATGAACATGAGAACATTTCCTCCAAGACGCTCTTGCTTTTGCGCTATGACCGCTATGAACAGAAGAACAGTTTAACACGCTGGTGGTGTTATGCTGTTGCACTTCCTATTGTAAATTCCAACACGCTCTATTGCTTCTACGCTATGACACATGAGAACATTTCCTCCATGAGAACATTTCCTCCAAGACGCTCTTGCTTTTACGCTATGAACAGAAGAACAGTTTAACACGCTCGTGATGTTATGCTGTTGCACTTCCTATTGTAAATTCCAACACGCTCTTGCTTCTACGCTATGAACATGAGAACATTTCCTCCAAGACGATCTTGCTTTTACGCTATGAACAGAAGACAGTTAACACGCTCGTGATGTTATGCTGTTGCCTTCCATTGTAAATTCCAAACGCTCTTGCTTCTACGCTATGAACATGAGAACATTTCCTCAAGACGATCTTGCTTTTGCTATGACCGCTATGAACAGAAGAACAGTTTAACACGCTCGTGTGTTATGCTGTTGCACTTCCTATTGTAAATTCCAACACGCTCTTGCTTCTACGCTATGAACATGAGAACATTTCCTCCAAGACGATCTTGCTTTTACGCTATGAACAGAAGAACAGTTTAACACGCTCGTGATGTTATGCTGTTGCGCTTCCTATTGTAAATTCCAACACGCTCTTGCTTCTACGCTATGAACATGAGAACATTTCCTCCAAGACGCTCTTGCTTTTGCGCTATGACCGCTATGAACAGAAGAACAGTTTAACACGCTGGTGGTGTTATGCTGTTGCACTTCCTATTGTAAATTCCAACACGCTCTTGCTTCTACGCTATGAACATGAGAACATTTCCTCCAAGACGATCTTGCTTTTACGCTATGAACAGAAGAACAGTTTAACACGCTCGTGATGTTATGCTGTTGCACTTCCTATTGTAAATTCCAACACGCTCTTGCTTCTACGCTATGAACATGAGAACATTTCCTCCAAGACGATCTTGCTTTTACGCTATGAACAGAAGAACAGTTCAACACGCTCGTGATGTTATGCTGTTGCACTTCCTATTGTAAATTCCAACACGCTCTTGATTCTTGACATAATGACTATTGCGTGCGAAGCTGGAAAACAACACCAGCGCCACTAATCCCCAGCGAGTCAGACTTTGGTCCACGGGAATCGTCCAGGTTTCTCTCCAAACCCCAAGGGCTCAAGACCCTCACCCAGCGTCGTAGGGGTTGCGATACTCACCCTTCTCATCCAGTAGATAAGGCAAGGGCCTCAGAGTCCCATAGTCCCATATAGTCCCATATAGTTCCATATAGTTCCATATAGTTCCATATAGTCCCATGCCCATGTTCGGTGACCATTCCTGTTCCATGGTTGATGGCTGGTGCTGATGTTCATCACTCATCAAAGATGGTCCGGCCTCCCCCGGCTGATCTGAAGCATCTCCCAAGTGGTCAAAGCAAAGGCCTGAGAACGACAGTCCGACACACAGGAGACCGGGTCCGGGGTCACGTTCACGGGCAGAATGGCCGGAGGTAACAAACATTTGCTCTTTCACCGATTCAGTTGTCGTGGTATGACCGATTCAGTTGACACGTGTGTTTCTTTGTTGGGGAAACACGCAACACGGCTGGGTGTCCCCTACTAAACTGGCTGGTAGATTATTGCAGTCGCCAACTTGTGTACAAGGCCGAAGCAAAGGCATATCCTTCCACTCCCCCGGGGAACAAAAATCATCTGCACTGGGCTACTCGATTGAACTATGCCCCGGCCAATAAGCAAAGTTCAAGCCGCAGCAAGTGCCAAATGGAAGAGCAACACAGCTCCCAGAAGCAACGCAACCATCGCGAAGAAGCACAAAATTCCTGCAGCAAGGGTGGGCGTTGCATGTAAGGTTGTGAAGCTGTGAATTGGGAATGTATAGCTACATACAGTCGTTACATCCAGTATCGGAGCCAGCAGCGATGCCACTGGACAAAAGTACAAGCCCAACAAATGTGTTGCAACGACTTTTCTGAAAACATTCCAAGACCTTAGCAATTCCAGAAGCATCTTGTGTGATTCAAGAAAGACAGCCTTCATTGCAGGAGTCAGTCTCCCGCATTAGATGCCACTAGTAATTCAAATCTCCCTTCTTGGACAGTTTAAATCATGTCATTTGTCTGAAATTGTGACCCCGTTTCGTTGAGCTTGGTGTTTTTTGTAGGTCTCCATAGGGCGTCTGAAAATAACCCAAAAATCCAGGGGTTAAGCATCTTTTTCCCCCCCGGCGGCCGTCCTGGAAGCACATCACTAATTGCCCCTAAAATTGGGGCAAAGGTACCAAACCCAAATTGGACATAGTTAGTTGTCCCGATTACTGGTGCAGTTCCAGTTGGGTCCCACATCCCAACTGCTGGAGGTGATTCCCATAGTTCCCAGTTGTTCAACCCAAACTGCACCTCCACCCTATCATATCCCGGAACCTGATGAAAACCACCTTTTCGCCACATTTCCTCCAGCCCCGTCGTCGCCTGTCCGCCCCTGTTGAGCTGCAGCCAGCACCAAGGAGACACAGCAGAGGAAGGCGGAGGAGACACAGCCGAAGAAGGCCCCGTAGTTGCCTGGCACCAGCAAACGTGGGAGTTTAACAAACCAAAATTTTGAAAAAAAAACGGATGGTCAAAAAAAAATGAAAAATTATATTGACTGGAAAAAGTTGGATTAACTGGCTTTAGAACAATATATGGAAGCCATGGCCCATTTAGCTCGATGACTTACCAAAAAAAAGATATGGTGGTTTCCCATAGCTGTGATGTTAAATGGGTATGGGTCAAAACCCTGGTACCTTTTGTTCACCCCAAGTCATAGCTGGGATTTATGGATGTTCATCCCACTAAAAATTAGTATCTATAGGTATTGATTCATAGCCAAAAAAAACTGCAGAGATTCACAAACCAAAAATGGCCTTAGAATCGCCAGTAGCTTGGAGGATTCACTGGCGAAAAAAATCGGGGGAACGGATGATTTCATATCATCAAGGATCATGGGATCGATGAGCTTTGACGGTCAGAATTTTTTGGGCTCACAACTGATAATGATGTTATAGATATAGATATAGATATAGATATAGGTATAGATATAGGTATAGATATAGATATAGATATAGGTATAGATATAGGTATAGATATTACATATAGATATAGATATCCCCTCTGGTAACCAAACATGACGGAAAACGTCTACAGCATTTGTCATGGCAAAATGCATCTTTGAACGGATATGATATCCATAGACCATTTTGCATTGCCACATTAGATTGGCACAGGGCTGGATGAAAAGTTTTGAGACGGATAAACTCAATTTTGCAAACAGCTACCCTCTGGTAATTTAACATAGCTATTGATTTACCCATTAAAAATTGTGATTTTCCAGTTCGCTATGTTAGTTTACCAGAGGCTACTTGCAAACGGAATGTTCGTTTGCACATTGATCGCTTTCTGGCTTTGGAAAAGAAACGCCGTCGCCCCTTGTGAAGTCCATGTCCGCATTCGTGCCTGGTCCTACGGAGTTTCCTCAGGGTCAGCTGATCAACCGCTGGGTGAGCATATTTCAGTGCCAATGTTTGGCTGCAGCCAAAAAGAACGTTGAATTTTGCTCTTAGAGGTTGTACCTGGAAAATATCGATAATTGTATGGTATATACATATTATATACCTATTTTATTTTTTTGTAAATTATACATCAATTACATGACACAGGTTTCTTTAATCATATGTACATTGTATGTAACATGCGCAAAAACTTGATGTGAGTGGCAGGTGCCGCCAAGGCTCTCAGGAAAGCACAGTAGTGGTCAAACATCGGCACACATTGCCGCCTCGCTGTGCCTCAGATCAGACTTTCCAATTTATCACATATCTGTTTGGTATTTGATCTATTCATGTTGAAGGGAACATAAGGGAAGTCAGTCTGTCAACATGCATCGCAATAAACAACCTCCTTAGGGCCGTTGCGCATTCCGTGCTTCCAAGAACGTCATGATCCCAAGACTCTGATTGTTCACCGCAGTTACCCTCTGATCATCCCACCTGGCGACATCCGATGAGTTTCCCACGAGTTTCATGGGGCTTTCCCCAGTTTCTTCCCGCGGCGAGCAGCAGAACTTGGACCTCTCAGGGCCCAGCATTTGTAGCTCGTGGATCACGGTGCCCTGTTCGCTGGCGAAAATTTGCTCAAGCAGAGTTAAGCGCCGAAAAGAAATAAGGACATATGGGTATTATAACATATATATATATATTATAATATACATATTATAAATATATATATATATAATTATATTATAATATACATATGTAACTGACATGTATCGGTATGCAATTCAGGGAATATAATCAAAATAGATGGCGGATGTGCAGCATGGCAGAGTGCCACATGGGGAATAGTTACAGGTATTTATGTATCATAGAGATATCATCTGAGATATCGGGAAAAAAAACACATATGTCTTTCTTAGTAGCATGTGGTTGCCACCTACCCCGTGTGGGAGGGAAGGGATGTGGGAGCTGGATGCAGCAAAAATCGTTGCTCCATTCGTGCCGCTTCATGTTTGGTCTGCAAAAATATGACTAATCAAACGGTCTGGAAAACTGCATGTTCTTATTCATGTTTGAAACCACATCTAGAACCTCCAAGAAATGCTAGAGCACGTCTGCTTGTACTGGGCATCGCTGCTATTCTTGGAACTGTTTTTTTCCGCCATCTGTTTTGTTTCTTCTATTTATTGTGTGTTTTTTTCTGCCTTCTTCTATTTCTTCGTTTACCTTCTTTTCTCCTTCTTGTTTTTTCTGTGTGTGTTGCTTTTTTTCTGTGAATTTGTTGTTCTTCTTGTTTTCTTCTTGTTGTTCTTTTCCTTTGTCTTCTTGTCCTTTGGCTGTAGAGCTTGTTGTTGCCTTTGCCGTCATTGTTGTCTTTGTCAGAAAATAAGCTAGGGTAGTGAATTTCTCGGATGTGCGGAACAACTTCCTAGCTCAAGCCTAGCGGATGTACTTGTGCTGCAGTGTAGTTGCGTGCCGCACCACGGAGACGGGGAAAACACTACATCCACTTGAATTGTCAACCACTGATGCAAAACTTCTGAAAGATGTTTTTGAAGCAAATGTATGCAAATGTCACATGAGTAGCATAAAGATACTCTGTGGGTCGTAGAGAAAAGAAGTATAGAAGGATAGATATATATATATATGTATAAACACCGCCTGAAGGTGGGACTCAAGAAACAAGGAGACAACTGGTCCAACCGGTCCCTTTTAAGTGAATTCTGGGCCCCTGGAGAGGGCCCCTGGATGTTGTCCAAATTAAGCAGAACGACAACGTGTGGATTTTGCGCGGTAGACGACAGTGGTTTGTTTGCCCCTAGGATGGTCGCCATCATGCCCAATGGTGTTGATATTGGCTTTGTCCGACATTTTTTGACCCCCGAAATCCCATTGTTTCTCGATGGGATTTCACTACTTTCCTCAGTATCAAATCGTCATTTTTCTGGGGAAACTCCGTGAATTTCCACCCATTTCCAGGCCCAATTTATGGTCCACTCGCCCACCTTGGTGCCCCACCAATTGAAGGCTTCCTCGGGCGAGGTCCACGTAATCGCCTCAATCGCCACATAAACCTCCAGGAACCTCCAGGTGCCGTGAAAATCCCCTGATTTATATGGAGCTTTCCTAAAATAGTGGTTAATAGTGGTTAATAGTGGTTAATAGTGGTTAATAGTGGTTAATAGTGGTTAATAGTGGTTAATAGTGGTTAATAGTGGATAATAATGGTTATAATAATGGTTAATGATGGTTAATAGTGGTTAATAGTGGTTAATAGTGGTTAATAGTGGATAATAATGGTTATAATAATGGTTAATGATGGTTAATAGTGGTTAATAGTGGTTAATAGTGGTTAATAGTGGTTAATAGTGGTTAATAGTGGTTAATAGTGGTTAATAGTGGTTAATAATGGATAATAATGGTTATAATAATGGTTAATGATGGTTACCCTCTGGTAAACGTTTACATAACGAACTGGAAAGATCCACCATTTCTAATGGGAAAACTCACTATTTCTACGGCCATGTTCAATAGCTTTGTAAACGTTTACCAGAGGGTACCCCTAAATAAACCATCCAAAATGCGTCTGTTTTAGTATTGAAACCTTTGGTTTTGGGTATCCCCCCATTTTAGGAGACCTCCATATGCAGATGGGTATGATAGGTAGAGAGATAGACCGATTTTATATAATACTAGGTCTTTTGTAGCAATTTCTATGTACAGGCTAACCCTATGTATGCATCACCATGTATAGCATATGTGGGAAAAATATGTTAAACAACCTTTTGGTTAAAGTGTTGGCTCCCATATGCGTGGCCACCCAAGAAATCAAATTAAAACCACGCAAGTTACGAAAATATTCATGTTCAATAGAAATTGTTTGATTGCCATGAGGGAAACCACCCAAGCCGAATCTTACAAATCAACACTGGCTAAGCCACTAAATGTGGGTATGGCTAACCTTGCAAAGACTGTTTAACTTGCTAAAATAAACTGTTAACGAACAGAATATGAGTATCCCCACTTAGATGATTGGCCTCATTTTCAAAAATAACCATACCAGTAAATACGTGTTGTTACTGGTCATATATATATATAGTATAGATATATATATATATATATGTATATGTGTGTGTGTATCCCGAAATTCAGTGCTGGCTAGCCCGCTAAATATGGGCATCCCCATCCTATCCACATGATATCCCCATCCTCTCCCCATGACCTCCCCCATTTTAGGGTTGCTCCCAACACCCCTGATACAATGATGGGCAAATGGCAAAGTTAAAAGAACCAAAACACCCTCCACTAGTGGTCATGTTTGCCTAGAATAGATCTGGGTAAATTGTAACATTTCATTAACCTGAAATGCTGGGCTACATTGGGATAATTCCCCGAATCCTAATTATCATTCCAGTGAGGGAGAACAGTGAGATTGTTATACCCTCTGGTTATTTAACATAGCCATGGAAAATCACCATTTTTAATAGGTATACCTCTATTAAATGAGCCATTTCCCATGGCTATGTTAAATAACCAGAGGGTATAATTTACCCAATGGATTATTAAATGAGCCATTTCCCATGGCTATGTTAAATAACCAGAGGGTATAATTTACCCAATGGATTCCCCTCCCAACCCCAACCCACCCGTTGCAGCCACCGTCACTGCCGCATGCCGCAGGGCTTCTTCGTAGCCGCGTCGCCACTCGGCGCGGCTAAGCTGGCAGGCGCCGGGGGAGCGGCAGACGGCGGTGAAGAAGCAGCAGCTGCCTGGCAAAGGTGGAGATATCCTGCACTGTATGAAAATAATGATCGTCATTTCTATTACTAGTGTTAGTAATACTATTGTTACTATGTTATTGTTATCATTATTAGTACTATTATCATGTTTTGCGTTCACTGTGGTTGATGTTATTGAGTGTCACTGTTGAAGATAGAAATTGTACAATATGTGTGTGTGTGTATGTGATATGATATGATATGATATGACATGACATGACATGACATGACATGACATGACATGACATGACATGACATGACATGTCATGTCATGTCATGTCATGTCATGTCATGTCATGTCATGTCATGTCATGTCATGTCATGTCATGTATGTATGTATGTATGTATGTATGTATGTATGTATGTATGTATGTATGTATGTATGTATGTATGTATGTATGTATGTATGTATGTATGTATGTATGTATGTATGTATATTGGAATGTGACTAGTTCTACTACGGTTGATATTGATTGAATTCTTGATTGTCGTTATTGTTGGACAACTTGTGGTTGGTAGTAACCCTAGTCTAGTCTAGTGATTGATACCTATAATGTAATATATATATATATATGTATATATTGACAATGATACAGTTATGCGTGGATGATTATCACAATATTTTTCTCTTGTCCTGTAATTATAAAAATCATGACCCCTAAATGAAACTTAATCATGATCTGGATTACTAAGAAATCATTGGTAAAATCACTAATAATCTATAGGTATCGAAGCTTAATCATGATCTGGATTACTAAGATTACTGATAAAAATCATTGGTACAATCATAGATGGTTTAGAGTTATTGAAACTTAATCATGATCTGGATTACTAAGATTACTAACAAACTATTGGTATAATCACTAAGGAATTAAAGTTGTCGAAACTTAATCATGATCTGGGTTATATACTAAGATTACTAATAATTGATTGGTATAATCGCTGATGATTTATAGTTATCGAAACTTAATCATGATATGCATTACTAAGATTACACTAAGATTACTAATAAATCACTGGTTTAATCACTAATGATTTATAGTTATCAAAACTTAATCATGGTCTGGATTACTAAGATTACTAACAAATGATTGGTATGATCACTGAGGATTTAAAGTTATCGAAAATTAATCATGATCTGGACTATATACTAAGATTACTTATAGATTAGATAGATTAGATAGGTTGGATAGATTGGCTAGATTAGATAGATTAGATAGATAAGACAGATTAGATAGATTAGATAGATTAGATAGACTAGATAGACTAGATAGATTAGATAGATTAGACAGATTAGATAGATTAGATTAGATAGATTAGTTAGATTAGTTAGATTAGTTAGATTAGATAGATTGGATAGATTGGATAGATTAGATAGATTAGATAGATAAGACAGATTAGATAGATTGGATAGATTAGATAGACTAGATAGACTAGATAGATTAGATAGATCAGATAGATCAGATAGATAGGATAGATAGGATAGGATGGGATAGGATGGGATAGGATGGGATAGGATGGGATAGGATGGGATAGGATGGGATAGGATAGATGGATAGATGGATAGATCGATAGATGGATAGATAGCTAGCTAGAGAGATAGCTAGAGAGATAGCTAGAGAGATAGCTAGCTAGAGAGACATAGACAGACAGACAGGCAGACAGGCAGGCAGACAGACAGCCA